GTCACGTTAATACTGTGTTGTTCTAATTTCTTACCTGTAAGTGAGCTACAGAAATATATTCCTTCTGCCTATCATCCACACATGCCTGCATTTTGCTTTCTCTGGCAAAATTCTGTAAAAGGATGTAATAAACATCCCGCAGAAAGGATATGAATGGAGACTTGACAAAGAGAAGTCGAGCTGTGCAACAACCTTAACTACAGTTACTCTGATAACCAGGTTTTTATGAACGCTAACATCTTCAAGATGTCTCTCTCCAGCTTACTGAGCACAAACTTGAAAAGCTCACTGCTATGAAGATCCTAAATTTTTAAAAAATATTTTCTCAAAAGGATGCAAGTCTGAACACTACATATAATTTATAAATGCAAAAAGTATCAGTCTTCTCTTTGGACTGTGAAATGCTAAATTTTGTCTCTCCTAGCAGAACATGACACGCTGACAACTACATTCACCAGATCTGAAGGCAGATCACGTTAGAGGCCTTACTGCAGGAATTCAGGGGTTTGTTCACGTAACAACATCTTTCTTTTGCCTGAAGATACCTCAACGGGTGTAACCGATCTCTGCACAGGGAGACTGTGGCAGACGCATCCACGGTAGGATGAGTAAGTCCTTTTAATCCTTCTTAGCTGCCCACAAACCATGTCATCTGAAGAAATCCAGAACTGTGACTCAAAGTAAGCCAGAGAAAGTTACCAACACATTAACTCTGCTTTTTGCCTATTAAAAGAAAAATTAAGAGCTCTGAAAGTCAGAAATTTTTATTGCTCTTGACTTTGAAAGGCATAATCATGAGACTAAAATGTTTCACAGGCCAAGTTCTAGACATTTCTCTTGTAACTTCAGGAGAGAGAGATTGCTCACTAGTCCCCGCGGTTGCTGGGGGCCGATGGTAATTCGCCTGGTAACGGGGGAGTGATCCACAGACAGTCTAACGATCCCACATGCTGACCTTCTCTAAGCACTGCGAGGAAGGAGAATTTTCTTCCTCTTCCTACGACACCTTGTCCTCTATGAGGCACTGCCTGTTTCCAAACATCGCTTTTGATTCTGCAGGGCTGCGTCCACAAACGGCCGTGCGTCCCTCCCTGCCGTTCCCTACAACGCGCTCCGCTGGTGTAGCACAAACCCTGACTGCTGTGTGCACGTGCGTGTCTGCCTGCTGGGAAGCAGCTGTGCAAGATGGGGCATTTTCCCTCTTATCACCTGCTCATTTTTTATGCTGTTCCAACCTTCTTCAGAAAGCCAAGGATATTTTGAGTTCAATAGGAAAACTTGAAGCCAAAAAAGAAATAGGAAATTGTATTTAAATTCTTTTAAAATCCTCCGATAGCCCTGCATAAAGGAAACCCAGCACCTCAGTGCTCGGTTTGGCAGTGTTACGCAGGCAGGCATGGACTCTGACGTGATATTCCTCTGGCTGCCTTAGAAAAGTAGAACACCCAACTGTGAAGATCATCTAACAGGAAGGATGGAGAAGAGCTCTGTGTGCTCTGTAAAATATATATGTATGCATATTATAACATTAAGACGAAGGTACGAGGAGCTATGGATTGCAATTGTGCAGTTCAGAAAGCATGTCTTCATATTCATTTTGGAGACATCCTAAAAGCATAAACTAGCGAGTTCCTGGTTTATTTTTGAAGTGCTGACCTGTTCCACTTTAGTTTCCCCTCTTCTATTTACTAAGCTGTTTTCCCATCCTCCGTGCCACAGCGAGGCACTGTCAACAATTTTGAGAGACCTGGGCAGCAAACTAGAACAGGTCCATCACCGGACTTGTTTCCAGTTTTTGCTCCACGTTTACCCAAAATGCAGAAAATGCAAGACTCTCTCAGTGCACCTACGGCGCCTGGTACTTGATTGCTGCCTGTCCTCGTGAACTGCTCTGTGACCTCCATGGAACTCACCTGCCCCACTGTTATTAATGCTCAAATTGTGCCACCTTCTCTGGGTGAAAACCTCGAGATTCTTCAGTTTCGTGGGACTTGTCACCTCCCATGTCGCTCATAACAGGGTTGCAGGGGCAAATACCATTTCCACCTGACAGCCTATTTCTAGTACTGACATGCGTAGGTCTGAAAAGTTCATATCACTCCTGGATCACTCTGAAAAGCTTCTCAGGGCTGGCTCAGTCTTAGTTCAGTGAACAATAAAGACTGGACTGGCAGCAATCACTCTCCTTCAGCATGAGCGTAAGAAATCTCTTTTGCAAAGCACTGTAAAAACCACTACTGACCTAACAGCTACATCAGCACCAAATCTTCTTATTTGGGACTCAGGAGGCTTTACCCACTCCATGCTCAATGTCCAAAAGAAGAAAGAATTAAGGAAATTCATCACATGATGATAAGTATGAAAGTTAACCCAGCTATGGTGCTGTTAAGTGAAGTTGTAATGCAGCATTTCTAACATCATGTAACATAAAATACAATAAAAATATAAGGAGAACATATGCTATGCAGATTCACAGAATCCCAGACTGGTCGGGGTTGGAAGGGACCTCTGGAGATCATCTAGTCCAACCCCCCTGCTAGAGCAGGATCACCCAGAGCAGGTCGCACAGGATCGTGTCCAGGTGGGTTTTGAATCTCTCCAGAGAAGGAGACTCCACAACCACTCTGGGCAGCCTGTCCCAGTGCTCGGTCACCCGCAGAGGGAAGAAGTTTTTCCTCATGTTCAGAAGGAACTTCCTGTGTTCCAGTCTGTGCCCATTGCCCCTTGTCCTGTCACTGGGCCCCACTGAGAAGAGTTTGGCCCCATTCTCTAGACACCCACCCTTTAGATAGTTATAAGCATTGATCGGATCCTCTCTCAGTGTTCTCCAGGCTAAACAGCCCCAGTTTTCTCAGCCTTTCCTCATACGAGAGATGCTCCGGTCCCCTCATCATCCTCACAGCCCTCGGCTGGACTCTCCCCAGTAGTTCCCTGTCTGTCTTGAACTGGGGAGCCCAGAACTGGACACAATATTCCAGGCACTCCACGTCTTCTATCTTGTTTCAACTTCATGTGAATAATTTTCTTCACAGATATGGATAAGAAAGGAAATTTCAAGTTCAGAATGTCCTGGGAATAGCATGGAATTGGAGATTCATTGCCACTGTTGAAAGTCTTTGCCAAACGCTTGTGGAAACTTCAGGAAAACAATTCTGAGAAATGATCTAGTTATCACTCCAGAACACACGAAATCATTTAAAACTTACTGAAAATGCCAAAAGTCTCTCAGATCTTACAGTTAATTGCTCTTTTAAGAAAATTTACTATCACATGTTTCAACAGTGTTTCAATCTCCCTTGCCATTTCTACTAAACTAGTCTCCAGATGCCATAGCTGTGAAAGAAACTTCAAAATACAATACATGCAACTCAGAGACAGACACCTGCCTGGGATTACAGACAGCCCAAGAGAAGAGCTCTGAAATATGAAATTAAATTTAGCAGGCGATAAGTCAGGTAACAATGCTGTTTTACAGCACCGTCAGGAGCAGTTTTGCTCTTGAAAGCGATAAGCCATCGCATCATGAAGAACCAAAGACTGACGAAGCCTTCAGTGCCAAATGGTAACGTTAGTAGGAACAGAACAGGACCTACATTCCTGCAGGCAACTGTGTCTTTAACAAGTTGGAACTGCAGTTTTATTGATTTCACATGAAAATAAATCAGTTTTGTAAAGCAGAAAATAGGCTACCATGAAATACTTTGGTCAAGTAATTTTTCAAAGCAAGCCCCAGATGCACTGTTAATTTAAGGGCAGCGTATAAATGGTATTGTCCTACTGGTCAAATGCAGAGTTACGTGTCTTTGCAAACCAACTAAAATACTGGGCAACAGTCAAGGATGTGAGCACCTCTGTCATACCAATCCTGGCACAATTAGTAAATCTGCATTTGATCCTAATTCATGTAATATTCATCTCTATGGTATAATCTTAATCTCTGCAGTTCTCTGTACAGCACACAAACATCAAGTGCTGCTTCCCCACAGATCGGCTAACACACTCTAAACCTACTATTAAATCAGCTGAAGTATTTTAACATGGCTTAAGGTAAAATCTATTGAAATGAGCAAATACAGCCAATGCATCCATTCTAAATCCAGGAAATACACGTATTAGTACAGGCTTCAAGAAACCTTTTTTGTGCATTCAGGGAATGAAATGATCAGAGGCCAATGAAACCACGTTTACGGAAATGTGAACTGAAACCATGCAAACCCTCAGCGCTTCAACTTGAAACACGGTATCTGTGAGTGCGCTATGAAAAATACATTAACATTTTATCGCACAATCGCTGCATTGGAATGAGCAGCCCAAAAGAAACATATTAACATGTTAATAATTTTATTTTTTTTTTAAATATTTTCTCATTTGGGGCGTTTACGTGGCCCTTGGTGGTCTGCTGCCTTTTTACGTTCATGTAAAGAACCTACGTTTTTTAATGTATATATCTTATTAACGCAAATACATTCAAAAAAGCCATTTCTGAGCCTCCCTATGATTTCTATTATTATTTTACAGTCATACCTTCATAAGCAAACACTTTACACTTGACCTAAAAGGGAAATGCTATTCTGTATAATTACAGAATTTATAAGATTTTACACACACAGGTATTATCACAGTGGAACGATCAAAACCTTGTCTAGTTTTGAATTCTGCTTCAACAGCACCACACAGCCAACCACACAACCCCTGGTCCTCATCGTGAATTCATTACTGATCTTTGTCAAATAATGACTGGCTCGTAACTTGAATTACAAGTGGTTTATGGTATTTCTTTAAACAGTACTAAGCAAAGTTTTCAATGTGTCAACACCGACTAATTTTTAAAGACTGCTGCCTGTAATATTTCAGCTGCTTAACCACTGGTGGGAAGGAGCTCTTACTATTCAGCTAAAAGTCAATGTCCGTGTCAAAAACACGTCCACAGCCTGACAGCAAAAAATGGGTCAAAAAAAAGATGGAGCATAAAAGGAAAAAACAAGAGCTGAACGTTTTACCTCACTGTCTGGGCTGGGCTGGATAACTTCCCAGGTCTGAGAGTCCACGTCGTAGCAGTGAAGCTCGTTGGGCAGCGTGTTATCTGCAGCACCACCAAACACGTAGAGATGTCGGTCGAACGCCACCATTGTGTGGCCGTATCTTCGTTGTGGAGGAGGAGGGGAGCCTCGAAGTAAGTGCTCGGTAGGAATTCGTGTCCAACTGAGACATTAAACATGAAACAGTGTATTTTTTTTTACAATTCTTTTCTGCAAAGTAAGTTTTCTAACTCTCAGACTGTAAGAATAAAGAAGAGGAGCTCTATTACAGTACTTATTGAGCTGCATGAGAACAGACAGTGACTAATCCTGCAGATTTCTCAGAGATCTACGTCAGCTCTGTGTTGCTAAACTTCTCACTGAAAAGGTGATAAAGGCAACGTGGTTCCACAACCCACACGTGTTTATGTAAACCCCAGCAGCTCAAAGACCACAACCTGAGAAGGAATCGATAATCTGTTATGACATATTTAACAGCTAATCCTTCTAAGGAAAGGGCACCGTATCCCATTTAGATTTAGATAAGGCATCGCTCATTCACTACGACGGTACCATTTCAGCCAAGGTCTGGAGGCTGTTACCTGTCGTTTCAGTTGGGGTTCCACCTCAGGCAGTGCCCAGACAGCCCAGGCTGTCAGAACAGACCAGTGCACCTGTATTCCCACTTTTCGGTATTTTTATCCCATCAGAGGGGCCGCATTTTCAGGGCAATGGTTGACACTCTCAGCAAGTCACACCAAATGTCTCAAACCGAATACTCAAGATTTTAAAAAATATTTACGCATCTTATGTTTCCCAGTGATTTCACTATGAACTCGTATTTCACAGGACCTCTGTCTGGTTTTAATCAGGTATTCACAGTACAACTTTTAAGAAGGTAATATTTGGCATCCCATTCTGAATACGCTAAGATTCATACTTACCGTTTAAAGTGAATCTGCTAAACTTTCTGTTTGTCTGCTGAAAAAAGACAATCTGATGCACATGGCAAACGACAAAGTCTCACTAAAACAGTTCGTATTTTATCTTGTCTACCATTCCTCGTCATAAGATGCAGTATTCTTCCCCAATACCCTTAAGCATGTGCATTTCTCAACTCTAGCAGTCAAGGACTATGTGGATTTTGCGTGACTTAACTGTCTACACTTACATCTTTTCCTTGAATTCAAACTGAAAGAGATTATTGGTAATCTTTGCTCCACTCTGGCCAGAGAAAACAAACATCTTGTCTTTGCAAACAGCCACGGGAAAATTACAGCATGAAGGAGGAATTTCACCACTTTGTTCAATCTGAAAGATAATGAAGTTCAAAATACAAATGTATTATCGTAGTGCACAACTACACACGTTGAGCGTGCTGCAGGATCGTGCGATACATCAGCAGACAGACCACGTGGCAGCAATGCGTGCAGACAGCCCAGTCCCTATAAATCAGGCTATAGGTAATCAACTAATGCTGTGCTTACATGGCTGCAGAGACTCGTTTTACCATGGATAAAAAGGATGAGAGGCCACATTTCTAAAGCCCCTGACACTGTAAGGATCAGGACTCTGATCTCGATAGCCAGCCTGCAAAGCTCCTGGCCTATGGCAGTGGTTGAAGTGGAAATGCAGTCCCCTTCTACGGGGGGCACAGCACAGCCCCCACGGGCAGTCTAGGTCCGGTTCAGATTCACAAGCAAAAATCACACTATATTATTATATATTATATAT